AAGCAGATGCATCCAGCTACATCAAGAGAAAAGGCATCAATTTTCTTCATTGCTATGGCAGGATGGATTCTAGCAGCCTCACTATCCCATGTTATTGGCTCAGTAGCAGAAATGAGCTGTCCCCATTGCCATTTAAAAGTAATTCAGTTTGTTCAGTTCATCTGACCTTGGTTACAGTTCAAGTAGGTCTGTACTTTCTTTTCGCTAGTGAGGAGAGTCAGCATTATTCCTCTTATTTTGTAGTGGAAAGTCACATGAAACTTGGTTGCTTTGGGCCTTTAACAAATACATAGAAGAATGTGAGATGGGTGTTCCTCTCTGACATCTTCAAAGCCTCTTACCAGCAAGCAGCTGTTGGGACAATACAGGTGATGAACATGTACTCTGTGAATGGGAACAGTATATCTCTAACAGGCATATCTGTTTTTATGTTATGTGGATAGCGTGGAAAGTAAAATTAAATGTCTTTCTGTTTACTTAGAAATCAGAGGTGAAAAAGACACACTTATTAACTCTGTATGGGCTTTGGGAGCAGAGAGATTGTAATTTGTGGATAAGACCCCAAAATGCTGCTGTAGGTGCTTGATATTCAATTCTTACTAGTTTTTAAAGAGAGTTAGGTGTGTGTATAACTCTGGCTCACTTGAACTTTTCTGCCTCCATCTTTTGTTGCCATCATGTTTCTTTGGATATCGGAAATTAATGATAGCAACAGTTGCCACAGCTTTGGGCTAGCTGAAGGTGGTTTATCTGACAATGCCTTTGTGCGTCTGGACACACTGTTCCAAACCACCTTCACAGGAGACTGATCTTCAGTACAATTCATAGGGCCTAAGTCCAATCATCAGCCTGACTGCTTCAAAAATACAGGCTATCAGTTTCCAAATTCTTACTTCACCTTCAGGAGCAGACCTGTGTTGACCCTGAGGCTTTAGAGGATAAAGAATTACTACATCTTTTGGTTAATTATCTCACTGCTGTTTTTTTTAAAAAAAACAAAACATGTGTACTAGATGGCATCAATGCAACTGCCTTTTTTCTCTGGAATTTGGCCAGAATTCTCCTGTTCCAAAGTTCTTGATTCGTGAGGTTGAGGCTTGCGTGTACTGTTCCACTTTTGTGCACCCACTGGCGTAATTTAATAAATCTGTCATTTACACTCAATATAACAGTCATTTAGCTGCAGGAGCTCACCAGTACAATTAACCCTGTTCCGTCAAAATAAGGAGCTGATTATCTTGGCATTCACAGGAGCATAGAGCAGTTCGAGTGCTGTGGTTTCTGGCCCTCTTGGAGAAGTATTGCAGTCAATTGATTATTTTGTTAATTTGTTCTGCATCTGTATCCTGCTTGTTTATTATTATTCAAGTGACTTTATGTGCCATGCAGAAGTACAAGTATGTTAAAAATCAGCACTTGAAACTTTTTTCCTTGTAAAGATTGTATCATCCATGGACTACCTTCTTTGATACATGGCCTTCATTCTGATTACAATACAGCTAGTAACTTTTCCATGGTTTAGTCACATGCTAATAAAGTAGATGCTCAGATTTTGCTCTCTACTTAATCCTGTATCCTAACGAAGAAGTAATAAATGAATTAAGACTCAAATAAACAAAAGGCTATTATTGCTGATGAATAAGCCTAATTCTGAGACAGTAAAATTCATGCTATTTTAGTAGGAAAATCTTGTTCATTCACTAGCTTCTAGTAAGTATCATCCTTCACAGACTCAAATCATTTAGATGCTATTATCAGAAGCCTGAGTCTTAATGAATGCTGTTTTTCCTGCTTCAGTTAGAGAAACAAGCATGTAAAAAATGTCATGAGGTTGCATTGTGCATTGGATTGAGGGATGGATTCCAGGTCTGAACATCAGAATATTTTCCAATTATCTTCTATCATTGTACGTGCACAGATATTCTCTCTTGTATGTGTTTTTGAAACATATTACCTGCGACATGATGCTTAATACATTTATGCTACTGATGTTACAGGGAGGTCTGCTCTGCTTTAAGAAGAGAACCATACGATAGAAGCAGAATCAGATGCAGTCCCTTACCTGACCTAGACTAGATATGAAAGCACAAGTTTCCAGCTCTGAAAAACCACAGTTTTTCCAATGCAGATGTCCAGTTGGCAAGAAGACTAGGATTCTCCTGAGTCAGCTATCTGCAGCCCTAAATGGGCAGTTCTTCACTCAGATAATTGGATTTGCACCATCCTTTTCCAATGATAATTTTGTTCTCTTTGGGATTTTTTTCTGGAATATATGCATGTTATCTGATCTTGGGATCATTGCTTTCTAGACACGTTTTCATCAGGAGAAAGGCAAGTTCTTACTTCGTGCAGGGTTACACAAGACAACCGAATGAGGCAATGTGTAGATTATGTAAGTAAGAAGCTACCAAGGCCTTACCCAAACCTTTCGACTCATTTCGTGACAGAAGTGCCAAAAGTTTTCTGGATGCGATTGTATGAGTTACCATCATTACTGAACATGAGGAAAAACCCCTTGCTTCTGTGGTAAAAAAGACGCCTCAGAATTTCTGAGACTTTTACCTCTGTGGATGGTAACACCCTGTATGCCTTTTCTCCATGTGAAATATTCAGAAAACAGCCTACAGAGTGGTTTTAGTTCAGAGAATATTATACCTCCTTGAGGGGTATATTTCCTTGTCTCATGAAATTATTATATAATGTAATATAATAGAAAAAATAAATATATTTTATTGTGGAGATGAAACAGATCAGACAAATGAGATGACCCTGAAGAGGGAAACCAGCCTGTGCTATTTCTGCAGATTGCTCCCCCACTTCCTCTGGGTTGTCTTAAAGAAAATCTAGGGCTCTTCAGCATTGCTTTTTAATTAGTAGAATTCCTTTTGTACTAAATCCTAATTCACTGCCTTAATGCAGCAGGTCCTGCAGAGCCAGGAAGCTTGCGTGGGAGCGCAAACGCATGAAATCTTTTTCTCTGGCATTCGTCTAAGTGAGGGCTGGCTTCTATTCATAGTTATTTCCTATGGTGACAGCTTGGGGTTTGCAGTCGCAACCGGAGAGGCAGGGGTGGTAACGGAGGGAGGCATAATGACAGGTGATTGTTGTGTTGCTCCATGGCATCACTGAGCCTTATCTTGGAGGTATCAAACAGTGTGCTTATGCCTTTCTTTAGTCTGTACAGATACCTGGCACCACTATGTACGCCTAGTATGGGTCCTACTTAATCACTATCCTCTTTGCAGCTTATTTTTTATTAGGTTTTTTCCTTTCTTTTCAATCTGTTCTGCTTTTAATGAACCTGCATAAGTAGTGGAAACACAGGTATAAATGAAAGTACCTACCAATTCTAAATTTTATCATTTTGTACCTTTAGTTAAGTAGTTAACAATTCATACATTTTTAGAAACATTGGATACTGCCTTTTCAGGGCATGCTGCTCCATCCTGCTCCTTATGAATTGGTATTAGGTTTTCAGTGTTATAATGAAGCAATATAGCTGTGAGGAAAATAGCTTTTAGCCCCCATCAGTTTGATCTTGGTTTCATCTCAGCCTTAAGCACCTCACTGTGCACTGTCTTTTGAGGCTACTGCTTTTATTAATGGAGACAGAAGGACACCTCCAAGAATGACTCAGCTGACCTAAGATCTGGTTTAGCCTTTGGATTAATTTCTCCGCTGTTGATTTTTGCTGAAACTAGATGACACAGCGCTGTAACTCCTGTATACGTCGTCTTAATCAGAAATGTCAAACCCACACATGTAGAAGTGGTTCTCTGAGTTTACTAGATTTATTTAATAGCCATGCATTTTTTTTCCAAGAAGATGCCTAAGGAAATGTTAGGGGGTTTGCTACCTTCTTGCTGCACCTCAGGGTGTACTCAGTTCATGGTTTTAAGCATTCCTCTTTGATCAAGACGGCTGGATTTAATTTTTTTTAATTAAATGCTGTCACTCATGCTATCTTGGTTCCAGGTGTTAGGCTAAAGAGTACAAAAGAGTATGTCAAACTTGACAGCACTTCTGCAAGGTCTAGGAATATGTTAGCACATATTATAACAACAATTACAACCATTCAGTGATCTCCTTTAGGGGTGCTCTCTTACATGTGTACAAATAAGATGATTATGGTCTGACATTTGTAGTTCCCGTCTCCAAGATACTTGTGTGTCTAACTTTTCTTGTTTTCTACAGTGCTTAGTTAAATGTTTTTGTGGATTTGCTGTTCATAAAGGAAAGGGTCTCAAAAAAACTATGGCTACTTGTGTTTTATAACCAGTATTTTCATATCTCACACTTCAGCCAGTCTGCTCAGTTTAGTGGCTTTTTTGCTGTTTGGTTTTCTTGCCAATGTATTTATTTATCATGCATTGCAAGGATGATCCCTGAAAGTAGATTGCTCTACAAGACGTGTTTTTGAGAACCTCAGGAGTATGATGAAAGCACACAACTGCAGATATTTTTCTCCCAGCAAATCTCTTTGGCAGGAGAGGCTATCTAAATACTCTGAAAATGCCCTGGAGAAAAATCTGAAAATGTAAAAACGTGGTTGAGACCTGCATCCTCATTTTGTCAAATGTTTGCAGCTTTGAACAGTGACATATTGCGAATTAGTTCATTTTAACTTCTAATAACAATGTTTTGATATTGGTAGCTATAAACAAGTATGGCAAGAAGATCCACGACACTAATAATACCTGAATAGAGGTTCTTTCTTATGCAGATTCTCAGGTATCTAAAACATGTTCCAGCTGTAGCTTTGTTACATATAGGACACTTCTGGGTGTCTCTTCCCCACATAGCCATTGTAGTAGTCCTTGAGTTCTCTGTCTTCACAAATTTTGACTGAAATCAGCCACAGGTTTAGAAGTTGCGAATGAATTACACAGATGCAAATAATGTGATTTCATAATCTTCATCTGTCATGAAAACAAAGCTAAAAAATCTTTGTATCTGTCTTTAAGAATGTTGAGTTAAGATGTAAAAATTAACCCTGCCAGGTAAAGAAAGTTGTGCAACAGGAAGGCTTCAGCAGAAGGAAGCGAGGATATAGAGACATCAATGACATCGATATCAACATGAATGATCCTTTATTTACAAAGCAATGGTACCTGGTAAGTTTTGAAAGAAAAATAACAGTAAGAGTAATGAAATAATTGGCGTTCAATCCATTCTGTGCTGTTGCTATGTTTCGCAAGAGTTCTTTCCAAATATGTCACAAGAACTTGGGAATGGATCCAAGGCTCTGTCCTGTTGTTTTTAACTGTACCTCTTTTATATGCTGGGAAGACCCAGCACATTTCAAGAGCTAAATTTCATTTAATTCAATGGAAAGATCCTTAGAAGCCTTGAAAGAGAACTGTATTGGTATCCTGTGGGCATTCCTTGTGTGCTGATGTGACCCCTAAAACTGCATATGAATCATGTCTTTGAGCTGTTGCCAGGTAAAATATTGTTACAGAATTGCAACAAAAAGTTCTAGTACATTGGCTAGAAAAAGCTGAGGATTTTCTTTTCTTATGGAAATTTGAATATTAATTGATTTTCTTCTGTCAAAAGCAGAACAGCTGAAAACTGATGAATTTTAGCTTAAGCTAATGTCAAAAGAAAATAATATTGTTTCATTTTTAATGTGTCATATTTTATAGGAAGAAGTCTTTAGTCATAAAAGAAAATTTTAATTCTTACATGAAAGTAGCCAAAATTATATTTTTCCATTTTAAAAGTTGATAAAGTAATTTTGGTCAGTTTTAGTGTTGCAATCTATTCATGATGAAATAGTAAATGCAGTACTGCCTGCTTCCCTCAAGAAGGGTGTGGTTTTTTTAAGAATAGTGTTTCTTATTCTCTTTTCTTTAAATCTATTACGGAAGTTTCATGAATACATCCAATGTGGCTGTTTTTTTTCCAAGATGGGAGTTCTCAGATGAATGAGGGCACATTAGCATGGATGAGACTTCATCCTTGATGGCGTGATAAACTAAAGTGTGGATTAATTCGCTTCTTTACGGTACTTCAATGCTGCAGTGATAAAAATCACAATTTTTTAATGAAGCTATACATTTTTAGTTTTTAGACTATAAAATACACTAAAATGTGTTTTGCAATGAGATGTGTCTGGCACAAAATTGAAAATTTTTGCATCTGGAACACTAAAAGCCATACCGTTTTTCCCACAGAACCTGAGAAATTTGCGAATGAGGTTGGTGAGCATGAGTAATGCCTGAAGATACAAGGGGTTGCCCTTGTGCAAAATCATAGAATCACACCCACACAAGGTTGGAAAGGACCCTTGAAGATCATCTACTGAACCTTCCTGCTTAAAGCAGAGCTCACTTGGTTGTAAAAGAAATAGTTTCTGGTACTAAACCCAGTGGATGTGAATTTCAGTAGATCTCTGCTGTCAAGAAAAAAGAATTTCCTGCTTATAAAAAGTCCTCTGTAAAAGCCATTGGTCTAATTTTTGTCTGGCTTGACCCACTGCCCTGCACGGTTACGTAGAAAAGTGCTTTTTATGATCCAAAAGGTTCAGGGTTTAATCAAATCTTGTAAACCACAAACAAGTGAATTTGCCCAGGTTTGGGGTTTGTTTTGGGTTTTTTTTGGGGGGGGGGGGTGTTTTGTTTTTTTTGGTGCATTATTGCAGTAGTTATGATTCGGTACAGATATATACTCCAAAGTAAATGGGATAAATTTTCCATACAAAAGATACACATGAAGATACAAAGCAAAATTCAGTGGCTGTGGAAATCTGTCTGTCAATTAAAAAAAGCTACTCTTCTTTTTCACTGATTAGATTAACACTGGTCAAGCAGATGGGACTCCTGGACTTGACCTTAATGTAGCTGAAGCATGGGAGCTGGGATACACAGGGAAGGGAGTTACAATAGGAATTATGGATGATGGTAAGTGAAGACTGCATGCTTTTTAGTCATTATAAGTATGTTTTTCCATGTAACCCAAGTAAAAAAAAGATTAAAAAGTAATAATGGATTGCTTATAGTGCTGAGACTACCGACCTCCATAAAGACTTTGAGATCTTCAGGGAAATGTTATGTTAAGTTATCTTTATGTTATAAAGACTTCACAGGGGACACTGAAGCATGAATATCCAAGCATTAAGAGTAGTTTGCAATTATCGCTTAGATATCTTCCAGGGCACACTATAATAGCCATTAAACCAAAGGAAAGACTCCCTTTGACTTCTGTAGGCACTGACTAGGGGGCATAATTGCTGTGAAAAAAGTATTAAAGAAAATGTTTTTGGGTTACATTATTCTCAAAGTCATACTTGACAGCTGAAATAATTAAACACTTTAATGCTGAATGTCAATAAAGACCTGCATATTAAATACATTACTAATTTGAGGGTAAGTTCAAGGAAGATGAAGATAAAAAGTACAGCTGAAGTCACAGCTGTTCTATCCATGGATTCCTTGCTGAAGTACAGGGGTGATGTGCAGCCTCCCAACACTTATTTGGGCTAAATTTTGAATGTTTTCCTTTTATGGTGATTGAATAATATTAAACATAAATAAAATGCCTGGATCCATGTATATTTTGTAGGGTCAGCTGAGATCTGTCCTCATTTATTTCTCTTCCTCATCTGCTTACTTCAAAGACAAGGTTTTTGTGGAAGTAAGAAAGTAGACTCAGACATCTGTATATTGATGACATGAGAAATCACACTTTTACTGATCCCACAGAGGCAGGACTTAGCTGTCAGAATAGCTAGACATGACTGTGAATGGCATGACAAACTATCTGAGCCTCGGGTCAAATAAAGATGTTGGCCCATCAGATACAGCTTTTAGAGAAGGGGGTAATTTGCCTTATATTCACTTCCAGTAACTCTGGAAGAGAGCATTTGAATAACATGATTCTTCACTGAGACTTTTGTTGTTCATCTACCGTTACATCAGTAAGGGTCTCCACAGGTGCAAGTGTCTCTTCATGCAAATCTAGTGCTAAGGACCCTACACAATGGGAGGTAATCATTTCATCAGAGTAACTGCGAAAATACGACATTGTTCTTGCAGACAAAATTAAGCATCTAATAGCGTGGTGATTGGATACAGAGGGCAGACTAATGATTAAAAAGTAACATGAAATTGGTGGCCATTTCTTTGTAGGTTTTAACTGGATATGTAATAGGTCAGCTTATCCCCTCTGAGTGTAGATATGCTGTTTCTGTTCCACCATCCACTGGGATTTATATATTTGCCATGTGTGGGAAGACTTCATGCATTAGAATGAGTATATTCAGCACCACTGCCTTGTTACAATCTTTAGCATAGTACCAAGGTACAGAGCCTATGTTCAGATATTTGCTAAAACGGTCTAATCCAGCTTTAAAAGCACTTTCATACACATAATCCAAAGTGTTTGACTTAGTGATCTCCCCAAGTCTAGTTTAGGTAATTTTCTGTCTACTTACCATACATTTTTCAGTGGTTAAAAGTACTCCTTTTTATATGCTGTACTGATCCACTGCTTACTGAACTTGTTGGTTTGGGGATGCTTTGAGATGATAGAACTTGTCTAAAGATAAACTGTGATTTAAACTAATCTTAATAAGTAAATATGATCTAGTCTACAAAACAGGTTAATAGATTTTGTTGCTGAGCTCATCTTTTCAATTGGCACCTGGTTTTTGACATAAGTGATTGAAAACTCCTGGCTGGGACTGCATCAGACAGGGTACACCAGTTTAAAAGTCTACATTTAAAAACTGAAATCTCATTTCAATCGGTTGCATTATTCACCATAATAATTTTCCTGTGGTTGCAAAGGAATCTTGTTTTGTTCTGTGATCACTGGAAAAATCTTTTTTGAAACTCTTAACCTTTTGTTTCTGTTCTGTAATTATCTTATTGCAGGAATTGATTATCTGCATCCCGATCTTGCATCAAATTATGTAAGTACATGCTGACCTTTTTTGTAAAATGGGGATTTTCTTATTGTAGTCCCTCTGCTACAGAATTTTAAATAATGAGTGGAACAACAGTGCAGATGAACTGCTGATCTTACAGATAATACATTTCACATTGAAAGAAGCAAACTAAAAATGGGAGTGCCTGTGCAAGGAATGGAAAGGCAACAAGGCTTTTTGTGGAGGAATGATAGTGCCTTACATTAAATAAGCTGCAGCTTGCAATATTGGATTTAGGATAGAAGTGAGTAACCTGGGAACTGGCTTTAAATCCTGCTATTAAGATGCAGAATGCACCTGTCACTTGGAGGTCCATGGAGCTGTGGGCTCTGGCATGGCATGTATTAGCCTCTGAAACCTCCAGGAAGAGCTTAGTTCCTTTATAACAGGAGGTTTGATCCAGTGCTTTAAAGCATGTACAGGGCAGACTGTGTATTCTCAGCAAATGCCGTGTCAGTTGATTGTTCCTAAAACTCACGTCAGGCTTCAGACCTTCAGACTAGCGGATTTTTATTTTTCTTAATTCTTCCAGGCTCTCCCCACCACCCTGTTGACACTAGCACTCCTATCTCCAGGCATCTACAAGGGCTCCCAGCACCCATGGACTGTAGGTTGCCTTTGTGGTACACTACTCTCACGCTGTGCTTGTGGCAGTCTGTTGGGCAATGGACATCAAGAAGCTGTGACTCCTTATCAGGGAGGGTTGCAGTGCCTCTGCTTTAAGTCTTGCACTTCTCCGGCAGTCAGTGGCTTCCTGAGGGAAGCCCAGGCTTCTTCAGCTGAGCAATGTGGTTTAGTTTGCAATTGCAATTAGATGAAAAGAAAAACAAAGACAACTGGAAATTTTGGTAAAAACATGAGCCATTGAGAGAGAACAGCTCCAAAATGAGAGAAAGGCAATTATTTTTACATACTTGCAATTTGGAAAATAACACACAGGATGAAAATCTATTTGTTGTTGCAAGTAGAAAAGCACATTTGGTAGAGAATAAATGGATATAGAAGGTGTTTACTTTGAACAAGAAATTTGGGAAATAGCTAACCACACAGATAAAGTGCAGGATAGCCAGTTTCACTTCATATGAACTAGCTTAATAACTTGATAGCATCTAATTAAACCCTGTGCCCTGACTACAAAATTCTCTCCCAAGAGGAGTAAGTCAGTAGGGTGTTCCCATAAATAGATACAAATGAAGAAGTTTGTAAAAGGCAGCCTTTTTCTTTGCAGAAATTATGCTCTGTGTGTATGTTCTAGCATTTGATCTGTGCAAAGCTCTTTACTCACTTTTCAGCAGTAGGCGTGGAAGAAGTATTTGGGAATATTCTACTTCTAAAATCCTGTTTGAAATAAACACGCAAAAAGTCTGTACACCATATCTGATACAATGTCAAAAAGGAACAGCTCAGATCTTAACAGTGAACCTAGGATGATGCCTAGAAACCAAAAATAGATTTCTCAGTAATACAGTGTTTTCTCTTTTAATTACAAAAATATTTTCTGATTGATGGATAAATATTTGTCAGGATTAGCAGAAATGTGTTGGTTTTAGAGTGGCAATAGTGAGTATTCTGGAAATTAATGGAAAATGACACAGAGAATGACAATGCACAGACATGATGCTAGAAATAAGAAAATAGTGGAGCTGTAGAGAAATCTGAGAGTTCAGAGAAGAAATATCGGGGTGAAAATTGGAAAAGAAAAGCTGTCTGGGCACAGGAACAACAAAGCTTTAATGGCAATCATGAAAGACTTGTGAGGAGACTGATCTCGAGATGAGAATCTGAAAAGGTTTGTGTAGGAATGACTTTGTCCAGGCAAGGAGTAGTCCAGTAGTGAAGCAATGATCAGACTGTGAAGGGACAAAAGAAGATTGCCTGGCCAATGCAAAACACACAGTTAGACATGGCTTGTGCAGGGCAGATCAATAGCCAGACACAGGGGAGATAAGACTGAGGAAAGAATGGTTGGTAAGACAGTCATTAAAGGAGCAGCAGAAACACCATCTGAAAGATCACAGTCTTAAAGGAGATACCACCCTAATAGTTTTAATGCAGAAATAAAAAAATATTGCTATCACATGAAATCTGTGGTTCTAGGCTGCCACAGTACAGGGAGGGGGCGGGGGGGGGAGAAGAAGGAAAAAAAGTGGTTAAGTTTGTATAATTCGTCTTTATTGCCTAAGGTTTACTTTCAATTCCATGCTGAATGTACCTGAGAACACAGCAAGGAAACATGCTAATAAATTAGCTCATTATATGCAAGGTAACCAGTAAAAGGGTGAACGTGGCAACCAGTAAGAGGTGGTGGCATCTCTTTACGCAGAGCGGCTGCAGTTGCTGTGACTGAGAGGTGGCTGGCTGAAGGGCAAGGTTGACTCCTGCTCCCACTGCTAGAATGTGCCATCTCCTCCCTTGCTCAAGTACTGCACAGTGGTTGCAGGGCTTGGTTCACCTGCGCTTTACCTCTCCTCCTCACGCTGCAAAGATGTGCAGGCCTCCTTGAGTCCTAGGAGATCCTACTCTGACAGCATCTACTGTGTCTCATGGGGGCCTGTTTTCCCAGTAGGCAGTAATTCAGGCATGAACTGAAGACAAAGACTTAACTTCAGCTGAAGGAAAGATGAGTTTAGACCTAAAAATACAATGAAATGAGTCTCTTGAGAATGAGTTGTTAACTCACTTCAGGCTGGCATAGCAATTGCAGTCACCCTTGTGCAATTCCTGTACCACACATTTGGTAGTTCATGACATTTGCACTTTGGGGCAGCTTTCTTTTAAAGCCTACAGCTTATGTTTCTCAAGTGTGTAAAAGCCTACATAACCTGGCAATGTCTGTATGTCTTGCTTGGAAAATTGGGAACAATTAGGAAGTCTCTCAAAGGTGGTGTTTTTGGCATTGGAACATTTTCAAGTATAAAAATTTGGCTTTGATTATTCAGTTTAATTTAGCTTTGATTACTCGTTTTAATTTGGCTTTTATGTTTTTGACTTGCTGGTTTTCTTGCTTGGATAGTTTAATGGTGGCTAGCACTTAGACAAAATGGGGTATCAGGGAAGAGAAAGAGCTTTCTCAAGAAAAAAGCATTTTGTATTTTCTCCTAAAAATTGCTGAACTGTTACCTATCATATGGAGTACACTCTATCCGTATTTTAATTTGAAATTTCTGAGCTTTACTGCTTGAATCATCTATTTCTCTTTTAAATGCACTTCATATAGATGGAAAGGAGTGTGCCTGCTCACGATCTGGATGGACTGCAGTCCCGGCACCCCCTCTCAGCTTGCTGCAGTATAGCTACTTGCCTTTCTGGGATCAGGGGGTTATGACAAAGCTGGAATTTTCCATTCTGCACCGTGACTGCAGAGAAACTCATTGTCAAACGATCAATATTTCCTTTTAAGCCTTGGAAACTCTGCAGAGGTTCAGCCTTCAGGAAATTATTTTTTTCCCACAAAAAGAATCCTTCATTATGAACTGAGAATTAAAAAGCTGAAGTCTAATATACTCCATGGTTTTCTTTCAACTCAGACTGTACATACAACAAGGTTGTAACAACAAGGGTGGACAAGGGAAAACCAAAGGATGTCATCTATCTGGATTTTTGTAAAGCCTTTGACACAGTCCCCCACAACATCCTTCTCTCTAAATTGGAGAGCCATGGATTTGATGGGTGGACCCTTTGGTGGATAAGGAATTGGTTGGATGGTGGCAGCCAAAGGGTAGTGGTCAACGGCTCAATGTCCGGATGGAGACCAGTGACGAGTGGAGTCCCTC